CCATCAGAGTGATTGAGATAATCTAATCCTTTCTCTGTTTCTTCACTTTCATTTAAGCTTTTTCCTATTTTCTCCACAGGAGACAGATTTTAATGTATATTCAGCTGATTTACCCAACCATTCTTTTGAACTGACACTTCTCTACTATGACCTTTGCTTACTGGTGAACTTTCGTAAGATGAGAAGAAGTGACTGCCTCCAGAAAGTCATTGATGAAGCTTTACTTGGGAGAGAGCATAAAAGCAAAGGAGGATATTATTTATTATTCTAGGAATAGTAAGCAGTACCTGAACTGTCAGCCAAAGTCATTGGAAATGCAAAGATTAAAGGCTAACCCTAAGTCCCAGCAACATTTCAGGTCACAGAAGGACTTCTGTTTCTTACGATTTGATTTTGCTCTGGAAGAACCTTGAAATATAGATAGAAAATAAAAGGAAAAGTAGGAATTCATGGTTTCCTTTGCTATTGCTTCCTCTGAGAGCTATTCTTCTCTTTCTGTTGAAATTAATTTCTCCATTTACCAGAAAGAACTACAGTTAATTCTTTTGCACAATCCTATCAGAAGCCTCTGGCGTTGAAAGGGACAAGAAGACCTGAGCATTTTGCTGGAAAATAGGTTGCAAAATGGCAATGAGTATGGAATACTTGACTTCGTGGATCTGCTTACTAAATGTTTTTCTAATGGTTTGGAATCATGACATGACTGAAGGAGCCCAAGTAATATTGGACAGTCCATTCATCTCAGTCTGGAATGCACCAACTCAAATATGCCAGGACAGATATGGAATATCCCTTGACTTGAGAATTTTTGATCTAATTGTCAACCAGAATGACTCATTTATGGGGAAAGACATTACTCTTTTCTACAGTAACAAATTTGGATATTATCCATATTACACTAAGGATGGAGTTCCCATCTATGGTGGTCTCCCTCAAAATGCTAGTCTAAAAGATAATCTCCAGAAGATTGAACAAGACATTAAGAATACCATTTTGGATGTTAGCTTCAGAGGTCTGGCAGTTGTGGACTGGGAACACTGGCGTCCCTTATGGATTCGGAACTGGGATTCTCTGAAAATTTATCAAAATAAATCCATAGAGTTAGTTAAGGAGCAGCACCCTGATTGGCCTGCTGACAAGGTGATTAAAGAAGCCCAGTTAGCATTTCAGCAATCTGCTCGAGCATTCATGGAGCAGACATTGGCCTATAGTGAAACCCTGAGACCTAAGGGATTCTGGGGCTTTTATGGCTTCCCTGACTGCTATAACAACGATTACCACCATGTCAATTATACTGGAGAATGCCCAGAGATTGAGAAACAGAGGAATAACAAGTTGCAGTGGCTCTGGAAGCAAAGCTGGGCTCTTTATCCCAGCATTTATCTCCCCGAAGAACTTAGACTGACTTCCAAAACTCTTGAATTTGCCCGTCATCGAATCCAGGAGGCATTCAGGGTTTTGAACTGGACACAGAATGACATCCCTGTCTTACCTTATACTACCATTATATATGAGTTTACTCAAAACTTCATCACGCAGGTAAACAATTCTCAGTGTGCCAGTGAAGGATTTGATAAGCTTTGTCCAGTTGGAATTAACTGGAAAACATTGCATGGAAATAAGAATCATGGACTTCAATAGAATATTCTTATCTTACTGGTATCCTTAAAGTTCTTGGACTCAGTATGCCATCACCATTACCATCTGTTGCTATAATTTTCATTGAAAATTAGACCAAGCATTTTCTCCCCCCCCCATAAATTGTTCTAACATGGCTTAATCTGAAAAATCAACATCTGTTTGGGGAGCATGTTCAGTTTTATGTTACAGGTAGTCCTCAACTTATGACCACAATTGGGACCAGAACTTCCATCACTAAGCGATGCAGTTGTTAAGTGAGTCATGCCTGATTTTACGACCTTTTTTGCAGCAGCTGTTAAATGAATTATATGGTCATTAAGCAAATCTGGCTTTCCCTATTAACTTTGCTTGTTGGAAGCCCCCTGGAAAAGTTGCAGATGGCAATCACATGACCCCGGGATGCTGCAACCATTGTAAGTACGTGCTGGTTGCCAAGTGCCCGAATTTTGATCATGTGAACATGGGGGTGTGGCAGTGGTCATAAGTGCGAGGACCAATCGTAAATCACTTTTTTCAGCACCATTGTAACTTTGAACTGTCCTTAAACAAATGGTCATAAGTTGAGGACCACCTGTAGATTTTCTTCTGTTTAACAGTGTTTCATGTTTGGATGAGACAGGATTACAAATCAATGTAGGTTAGATGTGACATGTATTGAAAATCAGTGGGGCTTTTTATTGCTGTTTTGTTTTTGTTTTAGAGTATCAAAAATTTTATGGAAGATTTTCTCTTTCCCCCAATCCCTTCGGGTGGGGGAAGTACACTTAAAACCTAGGTGCCATCTTTAATTTTCCAGCAATAACACAGAAGTTGTCCTGTCAGTATAGCACCAACATAGTCCCTATCCAGTGAATTGCTGTTTGTCACTAACGAGCAAAATAAAGATGAAGGGAAAAACAAGATTATTCAAGAAATGTTTTAGAGGAATGAAGTAGTAGCAGATGGTTCAGAAGATATGAAATTGCAGAGGTCTAGGAGAGCCCTTATGGAAGCAAGTTATTTAATTAAGATCTTGCCATCACACATAAATGGAGAAATTCTTCCAGTAATAGGGAGAAATATACAGAGACAAGAAAAAAAAAACATGAGTAGAGGATGTGATAAAAAATTAGCTTCCTAGGAAGAAGAGACTTTAGAGAGACTTTCTGAACTGGCTGGAAAAGGCGAGACAACAGGAGATTGAGATGAGCAGGAAGGTGCATACTAGACAAAGTAGGAAACATCAGCAGACAGTTTCTCAAAAAGCTGAAGAGGAAGAAATGTCAGCATTTGGCCACAGCTTAGCTTGGGAGAAAGAACTCTAGATGATTACACAAAACCAGACCATACTTAGGAGAGAGAGGCAAGAAATCATGTTGGAAGATATATTAGATGATTTAAGAGAGTCAGAGAAAACCAGTAGAAAAAAGGATGCTGTCCAGATAAAAGTATTTCAAAAAAAACATGAAAAACAAGAGTACATTCTCTTTTTCTTTTCAATTAGACCTCGATGCAAGGTTGGGCAGTCTTTTTGCTGCAGGAGACTGCTTTTTTTTTTTAATCAACTGAAGACTGCAGGGGGTATAGTAGTGATGTGATAACACCAGAAGGATCAGAGTCAGATTTTGTTAGGTTGTTTGAGAAGTAAAATAGGTGTGTTCAACTTTTTAATGCACCTATGTTGCTTCTTATTGTGAAGTAGAAAGGCAGATAATGCTGCTGTTGCACTTTAGAATGATCTGATGTGCCCCAGGGTTGCAAAGAAGGGGACTGCATGTGGCATGCAGTCACTTCTTGACCACCTCTGTCCACTGGATAATAGGCTCTTCCTGTTAACAAGGCAATCAGGGAAAACTTCAACCAAATTCTTTAATCAACTCCTTATACTTAATCCTGACACACAATATTATTATGCAAAGTTCTCAAACAGCTGCTATTTAGAAGTTTCTGTCTAAACGACATTTCGGTTGTGACCAGAGAAGGAATGCTAAAATTCAGATACCAAAAATGATGCAATTTGGAACTGTCCTAATATTTTTCTTTTGCAGGAGGACCTGGTCCATACTATTGGTGAGAGTGCTTCTCAAGGTGCTGCTGGAGTTATCATATGGGGTAGTACAAATTTAAGTCATTCTTGGGTGAGTGTGGCAAGGAAGTGAAAGCTGGGACAGAGGGTCATGTGAGGCTAGGTATGGGGATTTCAAAGGTTCAAATCCTGATAAGAGATATTATTTGGGCAAAGGCCTTTACAATATTTTTTCAATCCGTACATTATGGATTTGTAATATATTCAGTTATGGGATAAAAACAGCTGTAGCTGCTCTAGCAGATGACCTTTGTCAGGACTTTGATGAAGGAATATGCACCTCTGGTCCTGCTGGACTTCTCAGCAGCATTTGATATGATCAAGGTATCCTTCTGGTTTGGCTGCAAGGGTTGGAGCGGGAGGAACTGTTTTGCTGTGTTCCGTTCTTACTTAAGCAGAAGGTAATTGGTGGAGGAGCAGAAGACTGATCCGGCTCTTGGCTACTCCAGAGAGAAGTGCTTCAGGGATCAATCCCCCCACCCCCCATGTTATTCAACATCTATATGAAGCCACTGGGAGAGGTCATCAAAATTATAATGACATCCAGCTATGCATTATCACCCCAGGCTGTGTTGGAGATGCTATAAACTATCTGAGCTGCTGTCTGAAAGCTGTTAGGGCTGAAAGATGGGCAGAAAGAAGCCCAAACTAAACTCTAGCAAGATGGAGTTACTCTATGCCTGTAAACATCAGAGCTGTCTGGTAATAGCGGCCCCAGTAATTGCTTCTGGTGAGGTTATCCTCTCCCTGAAAGAGATGGCCTGGAGCTTGGGATCCTTTTGGATTCATGGCTCCTACTTGAGCAACAAGTGGAGTTGTGGCCAGGGAGTCTTTCACCCAGCTTCTACTGATGCACCACTTGCAGCCCAACCTGGACCAGGAAGCCCTGATAATGACAGTAACTCATACCTTGATCATCTCTAAGTTGAATTACTGCAGGGTGCTTTAGACAAGGCTGCCTTTGAAGATGACTCAGAAGCTGCAACAGGGGCAAAATGGGGCAACTGGACTATTAGTCAAGGAATTTTTTTCATTGCATAATTATGACCATCTTTAGGCTGTTATACTGGCTACCAGTAGGCCGCTGAGCTCAGTTCAAAATGTTGGTTATCGCCCATAGAACTCTATAGAGTATGGCATTAGGATATATAAAGAAACATCTTGCCAAGTATGATTCTGCCTATCCAGTCTCAACATCACAGGAAGGCTTGCTAAGGAATTAGTTGCTGCTTGAGATGCAATTGGTTCCTATCCTCCTCTCATTAAGGAAGATCCTTAAAATGATTGTGTTTAACTGGCCTTTAGGAGGAATGGGGTTGTCCATCTGTAATTAGTTGTAATGATTTTTGGATTGTTTTTAAATTGCTGAGATGTTCTCTTTTTGGTTTCCTCCTGTGTACCATCAGAGTCAGTCAGATAGGGGTGGGTCTGTAAATATTAAATAAATAAATAAATAAATATTCAGTCAAATGCTGGACATCCATCTAGTGGGGATGCTTTAATTTGAGTCATGGACTGCAGAGGTGGTTGGACGTGATGCCTGTGTTGCCCTTTTTGACTCTGTGTTTCTAATGAGAATCAAGCCTAAATTAATTCCATAATAACCATGTTTGCTACTCATGTAAATCAGTTAAGATAATTAACAATAGCATTTGAACATTATTTATGCTGGTTTCCTAACAGTTGTGACAAAGACCGCAAGTAATATCACTTATATTTATTCATAATTCTGTTACAATATGTTCTGAAGCATTTTGGATGGTTTGCCCCAGCCAGCTTCTTTCAGAGTCTGCCTCATAGGTTTATTGTGGTAACTTGTAAAACTGGATTAATTTCATAAGTCACTCTGAACAAATAAGTAAAGGTTATGAGAGACTGAATCAATCTTTTAGCATTTCACTCTTTCTGCTTTTGCTCTCCCAAATGATGGGAAGCTCTAAATTACTTTTGTAGAATTGGAGGAGACAGCTTTAGAAACTTGTGTGCCTGTTTTCACAACACATTAGGTCATATTTTGGCTAGGCTTAACCTGTTGTTTGAACCAGGCCCGTGGCCAAACTAGTAATTAGGATTTCATGGTTTAAGTATGACTCCATGTGTCATTCAGACCTGGACCAATGGCTAGTTCAGACAGTGGTAATTAAGTAAACCTGGTACAACAATGGCTGTGATATCTGGATGACCAGGAAAATTTTGGTTTTGTGATTTTATGGTCCAAACCATGGATAAGTTGTGAGACTGTATCCATAATCTCCTTTCCAATGTGTATTTATTTAAAAAATGTACAGATTGAGAAAAATATCTGGGAAGAGGTAATCTGCCAGCATGGGGTTCGGTATCATTAGTATGCTGATGATATCCAATTATACACCTCTACCCCATGCCAGGCAAGTGATGCTGTTTAGGTGCTGGCTCAGGGCCTGCAGGCTGTAAGGGCCTGGATGAGGAGAAACTGGCTGTGATTCAACCCTAGCAAGATGGAGTAGTTGTGGGTTTTTGGCCCCCCAGGGTCAGGAGAGTTGACATCTCTGACTCTGGACAGGGTAACACTCCCCGAGACAGATCCAGTGTGCAGTTTGGGGGTCCTCTTGGGCTTACAGCTCCTGCTGGAAGAGCAAGTGGCAGCTGAGGCCAGAGGAGCCTTTGCACAAATCCATCTTGTGCACCCATTGTACCCATTCCTGTACCACGAGGCCTTGCTCACAGTCACTCATGGCTTAGTCACCTCCTGTTTGGATTATGTAATGCGCTCTACATGGGGCTGCCGTTGAAGATCATCCAGAAGCTGCAACTGGTTCAGAATGCAGCAGCACACACAGTTTTGGATCCCCCACAGTTCACCCGAGTAACACCACTGCTATGTGAGCTGCACTGGCTCCCAGTTGCTTTCTGGGTGCAATTCAAGATGCTGGTTATCATCTTTAAAGCCCTACCTGACACAGGGCCAAGTTATTTGTGGGACCAGCTCTCCCCGAGAGTATTTTCCTGTCCTACTAGGTTAGATAGGGTGGGCATGCTACAGGTGCCCCCCCTTAAATGTTGCCACCTGATGAGACCTCAGAAGCACACCTTTTCAGAGGCTGCCCCAGATCCCCACCCTTTTAGCCTTCCAGAAGTCTGTAAAGGCCTGGCACTTCCCCCAAGCATTGGGCTAAGGTGGGAATGGAGCTGGGAGGATGTTTGGCCTGGCACCTGGGGGGAAGTGTACTTTTGTTTTTAGCCATGTTTTTATGGATTGTTGTGAGCCACCTAGAATCATTATATGAGATAAGCGGCTATATAAGTCTTGTAAAGAAACAAACAAACCCTGCAGGAATGTTTGTCCTCTTACATCACCCTGTCAACCAGGTTGGTGATCATCACTATGATTCAATAGGTGTTAATGTGTCTTCATGGTGACCATGATAGTTGGGATTTGAATCAACAGTGCTGGAGGGCATCAGGTTAGGGAAGACGGTCTTACATGGTTGGATCTCTTGTGGGAAATGTGTACTGAAGTCATATAATTCTTGCAAACATCTCTTCCAAACTCATTTTTTTTCCTGGGCCTGCTTTTTTGTAACTTACAGGAAACCTGCCTTCAAGTGAAGGAGTATGTGGACACGCTCCTTGGCCCATACATTATGAATGTGACCAGTAGCACTAAGCTGTGTAGTGAAATACTCTGCTCAAACAATGGCCGCTGTGTGCGGGGAGAGAACTACCCCAACGCCTTCCTGCATCTCAGTTCTGCCAGCTTTACTATTAAGAAGCATAATGTGGACCCAGGCTTTATTCTGATTGGCCAGATGTCGATGGAAGATCAAGTCAAGATGGCCCAAGAATTCACATGTCAGTGTTACAATGGCTGGACGGGATTGCAATGTGAGAAGAAGTCAATCTAGAATGAGTTATTCAGCCCAGAGTTTCATGATATATAATACATGTCAACAAGAAAAGCTCAACCTGCAGAATTAGTCTACATAAAATTAATATATATTCATATATATTGTACGTTAGATCGATGCTTTGCCAGATGATAGGCCACATTCCCTTCCCCCAAGCTGGTTCAGAAGTCTGGGAGCTGCAGTCCGTCCTATATGAAGGGCACAGGTGGGTGAAAGTTGGGCTTCATCTTTTTGCAATGACACTAAAAGGCATTGGCCAACCAGTCTGATTTTCCCTTTCTGGAGGGTGCAAGCAGAAATCCTTCTAGCAATGGTCTTAGTGGTTATCTGCATCTTTGCCTGGGTACATAATACAGTTCTGCCTTGCAGCATAAAAAAAGCCAGCATGCTTTTTCTTTTGATCATGATATGAATACCTACAATAAGCATGCTTTTCTTACAAATGTATTGTGTTTGCTTTCATTTCCGTCTGAAGAGGTTATCAGGTCAGTTACATCTTTGTGTTGCCATGTGCTGATGCACACACAACTTTGTGTTCCCATGTGCTGATGCATACTCAGGATGGAAGACGCACTTCATTTCCTTGTGAGACCTACAGTCTATTCTCACGAGGTATGACGAGAGTTTTGAAGGAAGAGAGCACTGTAACCCATTGATTGCCTCTAAAATAAGTGCAAATGCTCCTGCATACTGTTGTTGCACTGGTGCTTTTCTAGGTTGACAAATGGCTATTTTTATGTGTAAACTTTGTGATTCAAGCAAAAGGCCTAATCTGTTACCAGATTTCTGTAATTTAGCTGCATACGCGTATGTCTAGTGAGGCCATGTCCAGTTAAAGTAGATATCCTGTCTCAATTTTCAGTGCATTACATTGTTTGGCTACAGCTTGGACGCTGACTTTGGGAAGAGGGGGCCATGGCAATACCTGGGATGTTATTGTGGGAGTGCGCTGATGCAGCAAAGGAAGTCATTTACTGAATAAACCACAAAATGCTATTGTGCTAAATTATTAAATTAATAATTAAAAAGCAATTAAATGATTGAAGTGTTATGCATACATTATGCTAAACCAAAAGCTAACAAAATACTATTACTAAGCAGGAGCTGAGTTACACGCATTTTACATAATGAACTACATGATATCCAGTCTGCCGTATAATACCAATAAGTGTCATATCCCCAAATGTGTATATAAATGCACACTTGCCAAATATCCCAGCTTAGCTGGGAGAGACAGTTCCTTTATTTTTCAGGGGGAGGAGGGGGGTCATTCTACCAGGGAAAATTAACCCTGGAAAATTCCCCTGTTGTTTCTTCCACCTCAATGGGCAGAACAAGCAGAAAGGATGTTTGCCAGTTCTCTGAGTAGCACAGAAGCAGGGCTGGCAGCTGGGCTGGGTGCCCCCTTCTGCCTTGTTTGGAGTGTGAGAGAGCGTACAAGTGAGTCCTCCCCAGCTGGTTGGGCTGCTGTGCTTCCTGGCACAGGCGTGTGACAATTGCTGTAGGAGCTCTCTTGTCATGGGGCTCCTCAGGACCGAGTCGCGGAAGAGAGTAGGAGTGGTATATAACAGAAAATGCGGGCCATGAGAGGGATTTGGGCAGGAGCATCTGCAGGGTATTGTCAAAAAAGTCAAGATGGCCACAACTGTGAAGATTTGCCTGCTGATAATGTGCATTGTGTGCACATGATGCACTTGTGCATAAAAAGCAGACAAAGCTGTCATACTGTGGCTACCATCTTGACTTTTTTGACCACACCCTGTGGACATCTCACGGGCTTGTGACTTCTCTCATGGTGGGATTTATGAGTTCTTGGTACTGTCAAGCATTGGATAAATGCAGAAAGTGCCAAGTATGTAAAATCCTCTTGGGCTCTGATGAACCATGGATCCAGTTCACAGAAACCAGTGTCTGACTCTCGGTTAGTTTTCATTCATGAATTGGATGCATTTCTTGGTTTTGACACTCTAAATGCCGCTTCAGCCCCAATTAATAATGTCTGGTTTTCAATGATTTTTGCAACAGCCACGTCCCTACTTCTGATTCTGGCAGGTTGACAGTTTTTTATATATATTTTTGTATATAAATACATGTATGTTTCATATTCCTACGCTACCATATACGACATACCAGGAAAAGAAACAGAAATGCCTTAAATTTGTGGAAGGCAAAAGATGCCCTCCAGCTGTACATGCTTTGAAAATGACTCAGGAGTGTTTTTGACCTCAGGCACGCCCAGTGCCTCTGCTATTCATTAAAGCAGTGTTTCTCAACCTTAGCAATTAAGATGAGTGGACTTCAACTCCCAGAATTCCCCAACCAGCATGCTGTGGAGTTGAATTCTGGGAGTTGCAGTCCACACTTCTTAAAGTTGCCAAGGTTGAGAAACACTGCCTTAAAGCACTCTTTCCAAATCGTTTCTTGTAATCTGCCCCGTCAATAGCCCCAAGCAGCAAAGCTATTGGTAAAGAACTGCGGATTATAGCTTAAAGTATCCGGAGGACACCGGGTTGCCTAAGCAGAAGTAAATGCGGTGAGGTTTCCTGAAGCTTAATGCCTGATAATTGTGCAGAGGAGGGCACCCGGAATATTTTACTATATCGTAAGAAAAAATGGGATCCTTTTTCATATTAGTAACAAAACAATGTCTAACTTTTTAAAGTTTAGTTAGTATAGTATAGCCCAGCTGTGCTAACCTGAATTTAACCTGTCTTTCCAAGCAAAAAGAGATGCTCGCCTTCTCTCTCACAAAGCAATTTATATAGGTGGCTTTTTTGTTTGTTGTTTGCCATTTTTGATCCTAGGCAATGGACCCACAGTGTGTCATCTTTTTCCTTTCTAAATTCCCCCTTCCCCAACACTTCCCGCGCGGAACACGCAATCGTCTCCCATTCACTGCCCATTTCTGTCACCTTCTAGCCTCGTGTACTCGGTTTTGCACACAGTAACGCACTTCTTACACTTGCTCTGTCGAGTCCATTTTTCTGCCCACAGCTTCACTGTTTTTCAACATGAATTAACGGCTCCGTTTCTTTCATTTAATGCAACAGAACTTTGGAAGCAGAAGCATAACAGAAACGCGTCTGCAAAAGTTAGTTAAAGAGGACGACGGCAATCTCCAGAGAAGGAAACCTCCAAGCCGCTAGAGGGCAGTGCGGCTTTCGAGACAAAAGGGGCGGAATCCTTTCTTCCCTCGCTGCTTCTCGGCGTGCGGCACCGGGTGGGAGCTCGGGCGGCTGAGAAGGCGGAGCGCGCGCTCGGCGGTTCCTGCAGTCGCTAGCACGATGTTAGTATTTATTAAACCCGCTTTCGGCATAAATGTCGGTCGGGTCGGGGTGGAGGTTTGCAAGGGGTGTACTTAGCTGAAACTCTCGCCAGCGGGAGGCAGGATTGCTTAATGCGGAATTCTCTCTCATTTGCGGGACGGGGGGTCGGAAAAGCATGGAGTATTAGGAGAGAAAATAGGGGTCGAGAGATGCGGGCGGGGGGCGCGAAGATGCTTGGCCGGCCCTTTTTGCCTCTTCTTTCTCCTGCTCTAGAAGAAGAGTGGGCGGCTGTGCCCATAAAAGGACCTGAATCTCTGAAGCGGGGGAAGTGCTTTGGTGAATGGTGCCATGGATCCAGTTTAGCGCTTAGGAATAAAGGCTTTGCAAAAGTTACTAAACGGGTTACATTTTGCACCAGGAAGGAAACGAAACAAACGGGGTTGGGAGGTGAAACGTCCTAGAAATAGCTCCTCCTAAGTGAAGCCTTTCGTAAGCGCAGCGCGTGCGGAGAACTGAGGGAACTCACTGCTTTTCCTTCTGTCGCCTTGTTTGGTGTGGAGAGGACCGGTTTTAGCCCAGCGTCTGGTGCTTTGCTGACACCTCGCGTCGTTTACTGGGAAAACTCGCGGCTGCCTTTTCTGGCGCTTTTGAAAAAGTGCCGAAGAGCCACGGGCGACTCCGCTGGCAGAAGCAAGTGGCGGCTCATTGGAGGAAAGCCCCCAAAGGGGTGGGATGGCGCAGGGCACTTTCTCCCTTCATCCTGGGATGGCAGAGCCAGCGCCCCTGGACTAGGAGCTTAACACACTTCAGCGGTGGTTTTCAGTCCTCATGGAACTGAAAAATACGCCGGTAGCCTCCTCACCTATAAGGGGAGAAGAGCGCCTTCTGTTCCACCTGGATGGAGCTCACTGTGTTACTGCACTGTCGGCCCTTCGAGGTAGTCCAGACCAGGAAGCCAAACTCATGAATACTAATTCTACTTTTATTGTCAGGTTACAGTAACAAAACCTTGCAAGTCTGAAAGAGCTTCCCCCTTCCACTGCCTTTATGTTCCAGAGAACTAGGGTGGGTCAATTCTGAAACACTTTGTCAAATTACTTTTCTGATTTGGGCTTAGATTTCATTTATCAGACTGTTGTCTAGGCTGTGGCTGTTCCTTCTGTCTCTCAAGGTTATTCTCACAGCCCATTACAGTTACAGAACACTTTGATTTTGCTCTGAGGGGAGGGTGATAATGTATGGACAGTGTAAGAGGGGACCAGCGTTACTCTACAGTGGCAATAAATAGGAGTCAGCACCTTTTCTGATTTAACAAATGTTATTAAAAAGGATAAGCATATGCCTTTTAATAACATTTGCGGAGTCCTTGGGGTTCTCTGAGCTTGGTTGTTTTCTTGCAGATGTTTCATTACCTGGCTAGGTAACATCTTCAGTGCTGAAGATGTTACCTAGCCAGGTAACAAAAAATCTGCAAGAAAACAACCAAGCTCAGAGAACCCCAAGGACTCCACAGTTCAACCCTGAGCGACC